CGGGCACCTGCCACAAAACAAGACGCCCAAGCGCTTCCGAGGGCGTTTATGAGCTCGCCCACCGGAACAATCCCGTGTAGCGCGCGCACGCACGCACGCACGCACACCTACGCACACACAGGCACATGTGAAGATTAGTGGTGACCTAGTGGGCCGTGGCACACACGCATACACACGCACACACGCGCACACAGGTGCACACACCCACAGACATGTACACGCGCACACGCACGCACACGCACGCACCTGAACACGCAGATACACATGCACACGCACAAACACGCACAGACACGCGTACACACATGCACACACGCTCACACATATGAGCGCACACACGCGCGCACGCACACACGCGCACACACATGCGCACACGCTCACACATATGAACGCACACACGCGCGCACACGCGCACAGACACGCGCACACACATGCACACACGCTCACACATATGAGCGTACACACGCGCACACACGCACACACATGCACACACGCTCACACATATGAACGCACAAACACGCACAGACGCGCACACACATGCATACACGCTCACACATATGAACGCACACACACGCGCACACGCGCACGCACGCGCACACACGTGCACACACATGCACACACGCTCACACATATGAACGCACACACGCGCACACGCGCACACACGCGCACACGCGCGAAGATTAGTGGCGGCCCAGTGGGCCGTGGCCGTCGTGTGAGCTGCGGCCGGGGCAGGCTCCCCTAAGTGGCCGCTTAGCCGGGCAGGCTTGGTCGTGAGCTGTAGGAAGAATTAGGGAATTACCTTTCCTTCCCGTTGTTGAAGGGCACATCGGTTTTCTCACCGCCTGTACAGAGGGCATTTCAAATTTTCTTCCTTCGCACATTAGTATTTGGGCCGTGCGTTGTGGCGTGTAATTCCTGCGCCCAGCGAGGCTGAGGCAGGAGGATTACTGCGAAGCCCGCCTAGGAGTTTGGAGGGGTGAGTTAGAGAAGTTTTAGCACGCAGCTCCATCTAGTGGAGAACGTAGCACGAAGCGCGCCGTTTCCTCTCCTGCCGCTTACTAGAGACCGTTGGGAAAATTTTCTCATGAGTAAGTCATAGACGTGGTTTATATTCCTGTAAAAGGTCTATAATGAATTTCTAAAACAAGTAATTTTTCTTTTATTACACGGTAGAATTGTTGAAGTCAGAAAATTATTGCTGGTAACGTCCATTGTTTTTGACTAATGACTTTAGAGAATTTTTTTTTCCCCTGCAACCCAGGACCAGTCATTACACTTGGCTAACATATTTTTTTAAAATTAATTAAAGTGATTTTTCATACAAGTGTCTATATGTGTGAAGTAAGGTACACTAAACACATTCTCCTATGCAAGAAGGAATGACATTTCATTTTTTTTTTTTTTTTTTTTAATGGGCTAGGTCTCATGTAGCTGAGGCTGACCTGGAACTTGATGTATTTCTGTCGTGGAACCCTTAACTATGTAAAGATGGTCACATTTGATATGTTGCTGAGTATTACTTTAACTGTATAAAGGTGTGTTGCATTTGTTTGTGCTTCATTTGTTTAATTATGCAAAAATGTGTGGCTGTTTCTACTTGTCTGCCCAAGGCATCTGAGGGTCTAATTAAAAGCCAAATGGCCAATAGGGGGCCAGTAGAGGGATAGGTGAGGGTGGAAGACAGAAAGAATAAATAGGAGAAGAGAACGAGGGAGAAAGAGAGGGAGACCCTGGGAGCCAGCCAGCTGCCAGCCACATTGAGAGCAAGCCATGAGCGTAGAGCACACAGAATGAAAGAGAGTTTGTAAAGAGCCCGAGAGGCAAAACGTAGATGCAGAGAAACAGGCTAAAATAAGTTGTAAGAGCTAGAGGACAAGCATAAACTAAGGCTGAGCATTTATAACTAATAATAAATCCCCATGCCATGATTTGGGAGCTGGTTGGGCAGCCCCAAAGAAAGTCTGTTACACATTTCTGCTTCCACCACCCAAGTGCTGAGAACATAGGCATGTGAAATTTCTTTAATATGTAACATGTGGAAATAGCTCAAAATTCTGCACAACTTGCTTGGTATCACCTAGGTGTGTCTCAAGGCGTACTCCTACCCAGAGTGCTGCTGACCGTATAAAATGACGGTGTTTGGGAGGAAAGAGTGAAGACTGCATTTGAATGGCTGCTCTGAGCCAGAGTCTCTGATGGCCACCATCACTTTCCAGTTCTCCTCACATTCAGGGTCTCTGCCTTCCCTTCCCCTCCTTTCCATCTTTCTTTGAATCTTACAATGGGGATGTAGACCAGGCTGGCCCTGAACACAGAGGTCCATCTGCCTCTGCCTCCCGAGTGCTGGGATTAAGGCGTGCGCCGAAAGATCTCTTTAAGTCTTTAACAAACAAAAACAAAGAACCTTGCACTATCCCTGCTACAGACCCGAGGGGCCCTGGAACCCAGAGAGGCCAAGTTTAGCATCCAGCAGTAAGAAGTTAAAAAGGTAGCCGTTTACACCCCTCAGATCCTGTGCTTGTTCACATCTCCCCCAGCTCTTATGGAAAACATTCCCCGGTTACTTCAAAGGACTGTGCTGGGGGCTGGACAGATGACCAAGCAGTTAAGGTCTCTTGCTGCTCTTGCAGAGAACCTGTTCCATCATCACCCAATCTGGTGGCTTATGACTATCTGTAACTTCAGTGTCAGGGAGTCTGATGCCCTCTTCTGGCCTCTGCTAGCAACATATATGCACACTGTGTATATAAATACACGAAGGCAAAACACATAAAATAAAAGTGGATAAACCCATGCCTTATATCCCTATACTTGGGAGGCAGAGGGAGGCAGATCGCTGTGAGTTTGAGGCCAGCCTGGTCTACAAAGTGAGTTCTAGTACAGACAGGGTTGTTACACAGAGAAACCCTGTCTTGAAAAACTAAAATAAGCCTTTAATCCCAGCATTTGGGAGGCAAGTGGATCTCTGTGAGTTCGAGACCAGTCTGGTCTACAAGAGCTAGTTCCAGGACAGCCTCCAAAGCCACAGAGAAACCCTGTCTCGAAAAACCAATAAAATAAAATAAGATAAAAATAAAAAAGAAAGAAAACTAAAATAAATAAATAAAACATAAATAAATCTTTAGAAAATAAATCACAATTTTAAAAAAACCCCAAGCAAAGAGTTCTGCTGAGGGTATGTCTTTTCGGGACCATTGGTGTGACGTAGCTGAAGTGGCTCTGTTTCTCAGTGCTGACTGCTGTCCCCATTGCAGGGTGGGCATCTTTTATGAGCCAGACTGCATGCTTTTGGACTCCAGAGGACTCTGGTTGAGCTCAGCACCAGACAAAAACAGCACCTTCTACAGTCTCTGGATGGCTATGACAGAGTCATAGTGTATTTCAGGGTTAGGCCAGTGTATTTCACAGTCTTCCTGGTTGTTAAGTCCATGTGAAAAATGAACAGTTGCTTCTTTCCTGAGATTCTCTGAGTTGACTTAAAGTATTTAGGTGTTTGACAGTTTGGTTTATTTCCTATAGTAGACCTCTGTGTGAGAAATTTCAGAACTCAGTGGGTTTGGTAGTATATATCTGTAAATCTGACTGGGGCAGGATAATTGCCATGAATTTATAGTGAGAACTTATGTTAACTCCCTCTCCAGAGAGAGAGAGAGAGAGAGAGACAGAGAGAGAGACAGAGAGAGACCAGAGAGGAAGAAAGAGAGGAAGAGAAAGAGAGAGGAAGAGAGAGAAAGAGAGAGGAAGAGAGAAAAAGATGAAGAGCGAGCGAGCGAGCGAGCGAGAGAGAGAGAGAGAGAGAGAGAGAGAGAGAGAGAGGTTTTAGAACTAATTTTTCCCTGACAGGGTTTTATTGTGTAGCCCCTGGCTGTCCTGGAACTCACTCTGTAGACCAGGCTGGCCCCCAAATCAAAGAGATCCACCTGACTCTGCCTCCTGAGTGGGGACTAAAGGTGTGCACTGTCCAGCGTTTGTGCCTTCTTAACTGTAATGTCTGTGATAAAAAGTTTGAGGATTCCAGAAGTAGGAGTGAGTTACAGCTTCCTGTACAGAGTCTGGAGCCTTCAACATTGGCTCAGTCTCTGGGGAAGGGTCTTGCTGGGAAGGTCTCACCAGCGCCTCCAGTCACCCTGCGAGGAGGTGAGGTGTGAGGTGGCCGTGGGTGTGTAAGCTGGAGTGAGCAGCTGTGTTCACAGTTTATAGGAATGTGATCATGGTGCTTAATTTTGCTTAGCAAAGAAAGGCACAGGATGAGTGGCAAAAGGGCTGAATTGTGACTGTCACTGGAGAGCAGGGACGAGGTGGACCCTGCTGGCGGGTGCTGTGGTTGCTGTGGTCCAGCTACACTGAAGGGAGCTCGCTTCACTGGTGCTCCTGTTATCAAGGCAAGGACTTTGCCTGTGGTAGAGGGGCTGTGGACCCCCAGACATGGTTATATGAAATTCCATGGGAATGTACACTTGGTTCCCCACTCTGTAGTGGGGTTTTTGTTGTATACGACGGGGAATAGACACCCTGAGTTCAACCCACTAGAGTGAGCTGCAGAGACTGGAGGTGCTGAAGTTCATCCAAAGAGCGGGAGACCAGGGTTGGTTAGAGCCCTGGGTTCTGGTCCTGGTCCTTCCGGCAGCTTCCCTAGAGAGTTGGTGTTGCCTCAGTTGCATGTCCTGGGGTCCTGTAGCATCCAAGAAGGCTGGTGGCAGTGCAGTCTTACTCGTAGCAGGAATAAACCAGTTTGCTGTATCTTGGAGTCTGGAGTAGACCCAGGACACCAGCCATTTTCTTTTGGACAGCCCACACAGAGTTTGCCTAACTTTTGAGAGTAAAGGAATGAGCGATGGTTAGAATTTGTAACCCTTGAGACTTTTTTCTACATCATTTCCTAAAGAGGTATAAGTTTATGTAAAGAGTTTAGATAAATGCCGACCCTTTCAGACAAGAAATGTGTTTTCTTCCTAGTCTTCAGATGCTCAGTGGCTGACAGCAGAGGAGAGGAGCCAACTTATTCCTGGCCTGAGAGCAGCGGGGTGGTCGGAATTGAGTGAGAGAGATGCCATCTACAAAGAGTTCACCTTCAAGAATTTCAATCAGGTGATTCCTGTGATTTACTGATGTGCCACCAGGTGCTGTTTTTGTTCATTGCCCTGTTAGGCTTGTTTGACAACTGCATTCTGGTCCCATGGGTGGACTAGGATCCACAACCTCTCTTCTTTAGGAATTCAGTGACATAGACTGTCCCTGCTGACTCGGGCAGTTCTAGCTCTGGGAGAAGTGTTGATTTTGTGTTACTGCTAAATCAGCACTTTACACCTGTAATCCTAGCGTTTCCAAAACGGAGACAGGATTGTGAATTCACGGTTAGCTTGACCCACATTGGGAGAGAGAGAGAGACAGAGAGAGAGAGAGAGAGAGAGAGAGAGAGAGAGAGAGAGAGAGAGAATGAGAATGAATGAATATTAGATTCTAAAGCCACTATAGCTTTGATTTGGGGTTGGGTAAGATATTTGGTCTTTTTCTGGATTTTATATAACACTGGATGAGGTTATGAGTGCTTTTCTGTGTATTAAAAGGCTGCATGGAATAGGGCCAGTTGACAAACAACCTGTGTGCTTTGTCTACTTTTTCTGGGCACTTAGAAAAAAACTCATACTTGTATTTTTGCCTCTGAACCCTCTCTTATGCTGACTCTCTTCCTAGTTCTTGGCCCATTGCTAGCCTGGTATCTAACCCTTGAGCATTTTCTCAGAATCTGCCCCCCCCCAGACTCAACCTCCACAGGTAACTGTTCCTTTTGGGCCCCACCCTGTTCAGAGAGTCATCTCCCATGACTTAGCCTTCACGATTACTCCACTGTGTAAGGCAAATGCTTCTGACTCGCTCGTGTTTGCTCAGTTACTGTGGTAATCCTTTGGACAGATTTATTGTTTTTATTTATGTTAGGTGTTGGCATCTAGAAGTCAGAGACCATGTTTGCTTAGCTCTCCATTGTCTCTAACATGCTTCTGAGTACAGACAGGCATTGATTACAGTGTAGACATTGATTACAGTGTTTGCTGGTCTCCACATGGGTGTGCAAGCACCAGATTCCCACCAAAGAAGCCCTTGGCACGTTTTCCTGGTAAATGCCATTGGCTCTGCTGCATTGCCTGCCCTGTTCTGTTTGTCTGTCATCTGGCTGCCAGCCATTTGCTGTAAGTCCCCAAGTCCTGAGAAAACCTGAAAACCGACTCACTGTTCCTGTTGCCTGGAGTGCTCCCCAGCTCCTGTCAGGGGCTTAGCACTCTGTGGCTGGTGGCAGGGCATTTCACTGGCGCAGTAAGCGGTACATAGCTCCAGGTAGCCTTTCCCAAGCTTATTAAAATTCTTACATGTGTACAGCTTGACTTCTTTAAGCCTGGGCTAATTTATTAGGCTTGAACATATGGCTTAAAGTACTAGAGTGGTGTTGTCTCAGGCTCTGCCCCGAGTGGGTGCTCCAGGACTACTGCACCCTGGGCGGGAGGGAAGCTGCGAAGGGCATCTTGGATTAACTGTGTCATTACTCACCGTGACGTTTCACTGCCTGGGCCTTTCCTTCCAGTTTTTAGGAAGGGGAACCAGTGTCAGCATTACATCCTGACTCACTTCTAGCAGGCCCTGTGACTTCTACCTGGGTAGTGCCCTGTGCTGGTCCTGGTGTCATGACCAGCTGTTACTGCCCACACACAACCAGAACATACCTGTAACTAACAAATTGGGTCCCATTGCTCACTGGGGGAGAAGAGGGAGGGGACACACTGTGCACAACATTTCAGGAAGACAGCATTGAAGGCCTGGTGGTGGAATTCAGCTTGCACTAGCAGATTTGGAATGTTCCGAGGAACCAGCTTTGCCCTCTATTGGATATTGTCAGAAACAGGCAGGTCTATGATTCAGCACTTTATGAATCTCAACTTTAGTGAGATTAGACAAAGGAGAAGCCAGCGCTAAACGGAGAAAGAAGCATTAGCCAGTAAGCAGGGATGTTCATGTGTGGCTCTGAGCCCTCATGCCTGTCTGTGTTGGTGTATCATCATAGACTCCGCTGCTTTTCCTAACTCATGATGGTTGCAGAATGGCTTTGCTGCTGTTGCTGTTATTTATAGTGTGAGGTCAGCCTGGGCTATGGAGAGGGTCTCTGACACAAAGAACAAACCAAAACAAGGGCTGGTGAGATGGCTCAGCAGGTAAAGGCACGTGCTTCTAAACCTGATGGCCTCAATTCAGTCCCCAGGACCCACATGGTGGAGGGAGAGAACTGACCCCCGGAAGTTGTTGCCTGGCCTACACACTTGTACCATAGCACGCGCGTGCGCGCGCACACACACACACACACACACACACACAGATAAATTAAATAATAAATAAATAAATAAATAAATAAATAAATAAATACAGCTGTGTTCAGCTGCATGGGCACACAGGCTTGGAGTAGATACTGGGTTGGGCTGAATTTTGGGCAAACAAGTGCCATGGAGTAAAAGAGGGGTAAGAGAAATCAAGGTGGGTACAAGGGAGGGACTGAACCCTTGGCCCTTGGAGTCCAGGCTGTTGAGAGATGCAGCAGGGATGATGGATGCAAAGAGCTGGGGGTGCATTGGGGATAATCTTTCTGGAGCATGAGGTAGTTAACCTTGCCAGTTTTTTTTTTTTTATTATATTCTATTTAGTGTGTGTGTGCAGGGGTGGGCATGATATGCTGTGGACATGTGTGTGTGTGTGTGTGTGTGTGGTGGGTATGATATGCTGTGGACATGTGTGTGTGTGTGTGTGTGTGTGGTGGGTATGATATGCTGTGGACATGTGTGTGTGTGTTTGGGGTATGATATGCTGTGGACATGTGTGTGTGTGCAGGGGTGGGTATGATATGCTGTGGACATGTGTGTGTGTGTGTGGGGTGGGTATGATATGCTGTGGACATGTGTGTGTGTGTGTGGGGTGGGTATGATATGCTGTGGACATGTGTGTGGGGGCGGTGAGCATGCATATTCTGTGGACATGTATGAAGGTCAGAGGGCGACTTGTGGAGTGGGTTCTTTCGTTCACCATATGGGACCTGGGGACTGAACTCAGGTGCCTTTACCAGCTCAGCCATCTCTCACTCATTGTCTAAATTTAAAAACACATGGAAACTTACTTTTGTGTTTCCAGAAAAGTTTTTGTTTTTTTTTTCCTCGAGACAGGGTTTCTCTGTGTAGCCCTGGCTGTCCTGGCACTTGCTCTGTAGACCAGGCTGGCCTTGAGCTCACAGAGATCCACCTGCCTCTGTCTCCTGATTGCTGGGATTAAAGGAGTATACCTCTAGTTGTGGCTTCTTTTCTTTTTTTTAGACTGACATACTGGGAATCAAAATCAGGGTCTTCAACATGCTACCCTATTGTTCTTTACACCCAGATAACATGGCCTGTGAACATAAAATCCAGGTTCTCATGGTCCTAACCTAGAAGTTTGTCTACTAGATACAGTCCTTGTGTGCAAGTTGGGTTTGCAGAACTGTCCTTCAGAACTCTGTGGGCCTGAACTTGTTTTGACTGTTCTCAGGCATGTGTGTGTGTATGTGTGTGTCTTGCATGTATGTGAAGGTGTAGGTATGAGCTCGCCCATGCACCGCACAGGAAACTGATGTCTTTCTTTTTTCTCTCTGTCTTATTGTCAGAAACAGGATCTCTCACTAACCAGAAGCCTGGCGTTTGCCCTAGGCAGGCTGCAGCCAGAGAGCTCTTGGGGTCCACTTGTCTTTCCGTCTGTCCCACAGTGCTGGAGTTTACCAGCATGAGCCGTCATGCCCTGCTTCTTAGTTCAGTGAGAGACCTGCCTGTCTCAGGAAGTGAGGTGTAGAGAGACATTGGAATCCTTGCTTTAACTTTGCATATGTGTTCATGGATATACCCACATCCTACACCACACACATACACCTTACATGCACACATGAACACACACACACACACACACACACACACGCACATGCACACACACACTCATGTACACACGCACTCGTGCACGCACAACTCCTCTCAGGTTCTGATGCTTTTGCATAACAAGCGCTCATCTCCCTTAGTGTAGACTATTATTTCCAGGTGTGTGACTTTTGTTTATTCTACATTTGTTTAGCTCTGTGAAGCTGTGATTTTTTGCTTGTCTAAAACATCTGATGGTCTAGTAAAGAGCTGAATGGTCAATAGGGAGGCAGGAGCCAGGCTAGGCGGGGATGAGGCCAGAGAGCAGCAAGAGAACAAGGAGAGGAGGACATCAGGGGCCAGCTGGTTAGCCACCCAGCCACCCAGCCTCTCAACCACCCAGCCACCCAGCCCCCCAGCCACCCAGCCACCCAACCACCCAACCACCCAGCCACACTGCCACACTGCCACCCAACCACCCAAACACCAGCCACCCAACTACCCAACCACCCAAACACTAGCCACCCATACACCCAACCACCCCACCACCCAACCACCAGCCA